CCATTTTCTTTGGAGTATGAATAAAAAGTAATCCAAAAAGTACTTTTAAAGGTAGCATGTTAACATTTGAAATGTGAAAAACAAAGGGAGCACCTAGGATCCTTGAGGCGCCTCCATTAAGAGCCTAGAAATGGTCAAAGAGGACACTGGGAGGAACTTAAGGATCCTTAAACTCATAATCGGGTTAAGGGACCCTTGAAATTTTGAGAACGTAAATTTACAGAGGAAATCTGAACTTTCTAAGAAATCTTGCTCCAACTCAGAGACCCGCAGGTCTGGGAGCATCGTTTGTTGAGTGCCAACTTGAACTTTGCAGCACTAGGTTCAAGAGGAGACCTTGAGCATGCCTCAGAGATGTTCACCAATCACAGTCAGTGAGAAACAGTCAGAGAACAATACCAAGTGCCATGTTAACATTCTTTCATTGAACAAGTATTTATGGACGGTTTAGGATGGGCCTGGCTAGACTCCCTGCCGGAAAAGAATAAGAAATTACCTGAAAGCTGTAAGCAAGGACCAGATCACAAAAGGGTTACACATGCTATTGGAGGTGTTTGCATTTTATTTTAAAGACATTAGGATCACATTGGTCATACTGCAACCTGTACACTCAGAATAATGAGAAATTATACCCCATTTGATTCAAATGTATGATATGTCAAGATCATTGTACTGTCATATGTAACTAATTAAAATAAATTTTAAAAATTAAAAAAATAAAGGCATTAGGAAAGCCATTGAAGAATTTTGTGCTAGAGAATAATTTATGGACTTACATTCTGGAAATTTCTCTCGACAACTGTGTCAAGAGCTGATTGATTGTGCGAAGTGCTATATTGTGGGATGATAGCTACAAGTCCTTCAAGAAATTGTTTGCATTTATCATCAATATCTAAGTTAATACAGTTAAAAAGGAGATGAATTCCTAAGGCAAGTAGAATTAAGTTTTAATCCCACTCAACCTCTTCCTGACTGTGTATGTAGTCTTTGGCAAGTTATTTAAATGGGTATGAGACCTGTTTTCTTCTGTACAATCAAGATGAGGATACTCAGCACATACGGTTTTGATAATAAAGAAGATGGTGTATCTGGACATTTCTAATAATCCTCCTGATCTCTTAAGAGATACTGCATTTTCTTCTTAGAATTTTATCAGAGTATTTTGTTGCTAATGTGTGAAAATAATCAACATTCATGCTTTTTAAGTGAGGAAGGCAAGGTAAACTGAGGTCAGAGCCGAATCTTGGATCTGAATCAAACCACCCAAAAACAGTACTGTTAACTGGGTTCCAAAGACCAATGTTGTGAAGCGAGAGCTCCAATCATCCTAGCAACCTTTTAACCAAACACTGGTGCAGATTTGCTGGCATATATGACATCGAGAACATCTGGCCTTTCTATTATCCTCTCACAAGCAAAAAATGATGTCGTGTAAACTAATCTTTAGGCCAATTATATGGTCTAAGTGTTACAGCGTTTGTGTTGGCGCCTCTGGCACCAGGTTTTAAGAACTTAATTTGCAGCCACACCCTTCTTATGGAGACCTTGTGTCTTACTGTAAATTGCCCCCCCATCCCCCCACCCTACCCCCCCACTCCGTGCATCTGCTGAGTCTGCACCTTTTCTCAGGAAGATAAATATATGTAAATATATCATCCTTCCAACTGTATTTGCAAAACACCGTAGGAGGTCCTATAGGACATAAGTTACAGGAGTTATATAACAATGGGAGAGGAAAAGCGGAGCATCAGAATCAGGTTCCAAGGCTGCTTCAGTCACATCCCATGCTTCATTTTTTTTCCCGATTACAAACTTTATTATAGAAGCCAGGTGCAGGGTGTAGACATTATAGATTGCAGATCACTCAGAAAGTGTTAAATTGCCCCAGGGGTGCATCTGCTGAGTCCAGGAATCAGAACACTTGACAGGACCTCCAACCGGCTGCCTACTGTAGACAAAGTCATTATTGTGTCTGAGCAGGGCATGAGGTGCAGGGCACTGTTCCAGACCCTTCACCAGCAGTGATTAAGGGAACTCTCAGAATGTCTGCCAGTGGCAGGTGGTGTGATGATCCCCACCCACGTCACACTGTGGGGAGTCCCACCAAGGGTGGGAGACAAGGCTGTGAGCTTGCCTCCACCCACCCTCTGTCTGTTTATGGGAGTTCTGGGCTTTTATATTCAGTTGTTTTTGTCCTCGGGTCCATAATAACCAGCATACCAGTGCTCTTGTGCAGGAGACCTGTGGGTGTACCTCCAGGGTGTAGGAAGGGCGCCTCCTTGCCTTTCCTGTGACCCAATTCCCATAACCCTCTGTTGTTCCATCTTCAGATGACAGATAGGAGAGATCATCTTTTATTTGGTGAATTATTTGGGGGATCCTAATATGGCTTATAGATTCCTGATCTGTCTATGGGCAGAACAGCCTCTGGTAAAAATGGTAGGGTCACAATTGGATGGAACCAGTAAGTGGGCTTCCAGATCTCATATCTCCTTGCTTTCCCAGCCCAGAGACCTGCATCAAAGGAGATCTGCAGCCAGATGGGGTCCTGAGCCCAGGTACCAGCAGTTCTTTCCCCAGACTCAGAATTTCCCTTCATCCTTAAAGGAAATGAATCTCTCTGAGGCTCTTGGTAGGAGGTTGATGTCTAGGAATGAAGGGCAGAATAGGTAGTACAGTAAATCCCCACTCTGAGTTGTCATTACAGGAATTTATCACAGATGGTAACCATCAGGCTATAACATCTTGAAGGAAAGAGCTTATCCTGCATCATAAATAGACTGTAACCGTGGCTTGGATTTATGAAGCTATAAAAGACGGCTGCTTGGATGGCAGTGGACCCCCAAGCAGAACCCCAAAATGTGAGGCCCTGGCCTAATTTTATGAATTACAAATTCAGAGGAAACAGGGTGCAGACAGCTACACAGGGACTTGTAATTCCCAAACCAACTGTAATTTCCAAACCAAGCCCAGTCAAGCTTGGTCTTTCCTCACCAAGATTCTCTGGCTAATGCCATGTCTTGAAAAGGAATGTTAGCTCATGCTAATGCTGCCCAAGCCCCTGCTTTGCCCTAGTCTCTTGCAACAACTCCATTTTGACCGAGTCTCCCTGCTATGAAGAGCAAGCAGCCCATGAAGCTCTGGGTTGTGGAACATCAAAGTCCAAAGTCCAAAACAAGGCCACTCCCTTGTGGAAGTTTCCCACCTGGCTAGGGAGGCAAGGCATTTACAGATAAAACATCTAGAGTGTCCACACCCCCAAAGTTGGTCTAGATGATAACTGGAGAAGAACATAGAGAAGCAAAGGGTCAGTGGAAGCTGAAGTTATCAGGGGGGAGAGTGTGGAGAACAAGGGACTTTGTGTATGACTTACAGGATGAGTGGGGAGGGGCACAGGTGAGGGAGGGTTTGCTCAGCCCTGTCATTTCCCACAAGCATGCAGCATGTCCCTGAGCCAAGCGTCAAATGACACACCCACATGTCCCTCTAGTCCTAGAGCCAACTGTTCCTTCAGTTCTGCAGCCTCCCCCTCCTTCAGGTCCTTCCCCAAAGGCCTAAAAGGGAACCTCTGGGCTCTCTGGACATGCCCACTCAGGGTCCAACACCACAGGATGAGCATCCATCTAGTGGACAAGACCAGGAACAGTCCCAGGACTCTGACATAGTCCATCACAGTAATGAACTTCAAATGAGCAGGACAAGGAGAGAGGGGAAGAGCTGTGACCCAACTTGTCCCCATGGGAGGGATTCTGACAGCATCCAGGACACAAGTAGAAACAACAGTTTGATTCCCCATAAGCCCCCGGGGGCAGGGGTGGGGCACGGAGTTCATAGGAGCCACACCTGCTCCTGCAAGGAGGAAAGAGTCTTAGGGGGAAAGTGAAGGGGGATTACACCCTAAAAGGGAAGCATGGTCAGCAGGAGACTCCTCCCTTACAGAGCCAGCCTTGGGCAGAAGAATCTGAATCCCTGGTGAGGGAGGGTGGAGAGGTAACACCCCTGGAAGACAGGGCTACTTGGGGGTGGCTTTAGACTTTGAATGTTTTTTTAATTGTATTTTTTTTTACTTATACATGATAATAGAGTCCATTTTGATACATTTATACAAGCACAGAATGTATCTTATTCTAATTAGGACCCCAGTCTTGTGGATGTACACGATAGTGAGATTCACTATGGCGTATTCATATATGAACATAGGAAAAAAGTTATGTCAGATTCATTTCATTGTCTTTCCTTTTTCTATCCCCCCCTCTCTTCCCCTCATTCCCCTTTGTCTAATCCACTGAACTTCTATTCTACCCCTCCCTTGTTGTGGGTTAGCGTCCACATATCAGAAAGAACATTCCACCATTAGTCTTTGTGGGCTGGCTTATTTGACTTAGCATGATAGTCTCCATATCCATCCATTTACTGGCAAGTGTCATAAAGTCATTCTTCTTTATGGCTGAGTAATACTCCACTGTAACCTTCTCCTGCCTCCAGGAGTGTGATTAGAATTTTATTTTATTTTTTTTTGGTTTATAAAATTTGGGGCCCCGTCCTTAGAAGCCAACTCTGAAGGTTCTGAAGTCTATTCTGGGTTATGTGACCTTGGCAAAAGGGTCTGACTTTTCTGAGCCTCAGCTTCCTCATCTATGAAATGGGACACTTGGTCATAACATGTGGCTGGCAAGGCTGTTGAGATTAACTACAGTGACCTCTCTACACAGCTTGACCCCCTGCGTCCATTAAGGTCAGTCCTTCTCCCCTCCTCCCCATCACTACCTTGAGAGAATTAAAGACTCCAGGAAAAAATGAATTTTAACAAATAATTTTGCAACACAGTCTAAGGAACTGGGTTAGGGGGGACTACTTTGTCATAATGTCACCATATGCCAGTGGAGCGCCCTCACTGGCAGCATAGCTCCTTTCTACTGACCCATTTATTTCAAGCCACCTTCCCACCTGCCCTGTTGAACGGCCATCAGCTCACACATCTGTCTCTGATTCTCTTCTAGGGGCGCTGTATCAACTTCACCAGAGTCAAGAACAACCAGCCAGCCAAGTACCCCCTCAACAACGCCTACCACACCACCTCCCCACCCCCTGCCCCCATCTACACGCCCCCACCCCCTGCTCCCCACTGCCCTCCCCCTCCCCCCAGTGCCCCCACACCTCCCATCCCCTCCCCCCCTTCCACCCTCCCACCCCCTCCTCAGGCTCCTCCTCCCAACAGGGCACCACCCCCCTCCCGACCTCCTCCAAGGCCTTCGGTCTAGAACCCAAAGTCCAAGCTCTGGGCTGTCTCAGAAACTTCGGGGAGGAGGCTCCTCTGTGCTGTTAGAACAAGTCTCTCCAGCTAAAGGAGATAGTGGTAATTAAGCCCACTGATGCTCACACACTTTAAAAATTGGTTGGTGATGCCAATACACTGACAATTGTGATCGCCGGAAAGAAATAGAAATATTGTGATCTGCGGAAAGAAACAGAAACATTGAATTGCCTGAAAACAATCATGTTGCAACTGCAGCCACATTTATAGCCAGCCACCCATCGCCTCTGGAAGGTTCCAGAGGCAGTGAAACTGCCAAGATGCTCTCAGCAGGATTATGTCTCACGGAGAACAGAAGGAAAATGCTGAGCAAAATGCAGAGACAGATAAGAAAAGACACTGCTGGGTTTCTCAATGCCACCCTCCCTCTTCCACTCCACCTCAGTGACTTGACCCCGAATCCTTGGCCTAGGAACCAAGGAATCCTCACCCCTGTGCACCGCTGCGGAAGGTGGAAACCTTTGCCTGCAACTTTGGAAACACATGGAGTCCCCGGGGTGACAAGAAACTCAACATCAGACAGGTACCCAAAAGGATGTTCTCCTGGGATTTACAGATGTATAAAAACATATGCCTTGTTCTCCTTTCAAGTTCTCCCAGTTTCTTTAGGTGAGGAAGGGAGCAGGTATTTACAGATGGGAAAGAGAATGTTGCCATGTTGATGAGTAAGTGAAATCAGTCGAGCGTGTAGGCAGGGGAGTATCAATGGGAGCATCAGACAGTTTCTAAAACCCACAGGCCATCAGTAGCTAGAGATGGGTGGCTTTGGCCAGATGTGATCCCCTAAATCAACAGACTATGGCAGAGCAACCTGTTAATGACTCATGTTGAAAATCAAGCTTTGGCTTTGGTTTAAATCACTAGAGATAGGATGAAGTGATTGAACCTATTTTCCCAAGCCAAATGAGTTGGATCTTCTAAAACAGCATCATTAGCACCTACCACATGATATCACTGGTTTTGGGTTTGGGTTTTGGTTTTGGTTTTTACTTTTTCTTTCTTGATAAAGATATGTCAAGGTAGAGCTGAGAGACCACAGTCCTGACATAAGGAAATTATTCCCAGGTTCTCAAAAAAAGATGTGTGTAGATGCAAATCTATTTCTCCTTGGCTTTTCAATATGCTCACAGATAACATCGCTGTTCAGAGAAGGGAACTACACAGGTATGCAACATAGAAATGCTCTGCCTGAAATACCCACCATGCCTGGGACCCACCCATCTCTCCAAGTCTTTCTGAATCTGCTTAATCAGTAAGCCTTGTAGTCACTTGCTAAACATTGAGTTGTATCACCCACAGGTAAAAATAGGTCAAAGACCTGCTCAAAATGATCTCCCCCTCCAGCTTTCCACAGGTCCTCAAATTTTGTCCCAACTCCCTCATATTCTTAAAATTTCTCTGGAACAAAACAGAAAATATGCAATTAGTGCATTGGGCTGTGGTCTCCAAAGATCCCTGGAGAGCTCATTAAGCCAGCCTCATTCCCTCACCTAGCATAGAACAGAGGTGTTGGGCCAGGAATGTATTCCGTCAACACCAGTTCTTGTGCCCATGAAGACATTGCTGGTCACAGCACTATTGCCCATTCAATGTAATGACTTCTTCACAATCCTTCTCAAGTCACAACTCTGAAGACCTGCCACTCACTAGTCAGAACTGAGAGTGATAAACCCTATTTGCATCCCTATCCTAGAAAGCCAGAACACATAGGGATTGTGAGGGGGAACCGGAAGCCCATCAGCATAAAAGGTACAGTCAGGAAAAGTAGACCTAGGAGAGTGAAGGTATAGTGCCAACACCAAACTGACACCCCCAAGCTGTACCACGGCTGCCACTTCAGAGGTGGTCTTCAAGACTTAGGAAAGCAAACCTTCTCCCCCTCATCCAACCTTACTGCATTGTCTATTTTTAGAACACAAGGCTTCCCCTTTAGTGTAGTCCCTCATGAAACAGGGGTCACAGCCACCTGCAGTGACATGACTGGGCCCCAGAAAACCATTCCTTAGACGAATGGGTTCCCTGGGCTCACAGCATAAAGATTTTGGGCCCATGGCAGCTGTTTTGACTGCTGGCAGTACAAAACAGCCCACCCCCACACCACTACCGCATGACTCATGCGGCCTTCAGAAAGTTCAAGCCAAGTAGCTGACATTGTTGTGCCTCAAGATGGCGGGCCTCAGGTGAGAAGGCGATTTTCAGGATCTCAACAGCATCCGCCAGATACCCCTGTGCAGTTTCCAAGAGGTTGTGGCGACACTGTTTTGATGAAATAGGGAACTGCCAATACATAATGATTTTCAAAAGGATCAGCAGGGTTTGTTCTGAAAACTGACCCATCAAATCATCCCTAGTCATTCAGAATTACAGTTAAGAAGGAGAAATTTCTATACACTGTATGAACAAGGTAATACTCTTGTAGTAGGCTGTTACAGGCAGGAAAATTCTTCAACTGGTTTACAAAAAAAAAAAAAAATCTATCAGTTCTGTGTCATTCCCTGTGAAAGACAAGAGACTTATGATTGTGATCAGGAAACTGCACAAAATTATTGTTTCAAGCCCCATGTTATTGTCCTTACGAAGTTTTCTTTTTTATATAAAAGCCAAATTTTTGTTGTATATATTCGTATTCCATGTGTTAGATGGAAGCATTTCCTATCCAGTGTGAATAAAAAGAACAGTTGTAGTAAATTATTATAAAGCCAATGATATTTCATGGCAGGTTTTTCTACCAAGCTGTGCTTGTTGGTTTTTCCCATGACTGTATTGCTTTTATAAATGTACAAACAGTTACCGAAACGACGAGACCCTTGTTTGCACAGCATTAGTAAGAAGCTTGCTAAGAAGTGTGGTTCCTCCTGTTGACATCCAGATGGCAGTTTCTTGCCTGGAACTGGGTAACACACTTCATTGAGACCCAAGGTCTCTCTTTTACCAAGATCAAGAGCAGGGTTGGTGGATAAATTCATTAATAGTCTTGGACATCTAGCCTTGGGTAACCTCATTGTAAATGTGATTAGAATGAGCAGAGATGATCTTGAATTGTCATGTATATACTAGGTTGCAAGCAGTTTATCAGATGGGGGATAATCCATCAAAAATAATAATTATGAATTAATAAGCAACAGTTTCGGTCCAGTGCCAATTCAATTAAAAAAAATTAATGCTGTGTAAAATGGGTTGAATTAGTTTGCAAACTATATAAAGATATAGAAAGCAAAAAGCCTGTTAATGCACATGAGGTGGGAATGGAGTGTTCTAGTCAATTGCCTTTCCTAGTTATCTGAGCTCTGCTATATTATCATACTTGGATAACCAATTTAAAAGAATTAGAATATGAGTTTTTAAATACACTTAACATTAAACTCTTCTCTTTCTTTTTCTGTGATAATTCAGTTATGGATATTCAGTGTCATTGTTATAAAAATTAAAAAAAAAAGTTATCACTGTACCATGCTGTAGGAGACTGGGCTGAACTTGTATAGTGACAAACCCTGCTGGAAATTGCTTTTTTAAAAAAATAAAAATAAATTCCTAAAATCAATTCTTCTGCTGGTTGTGTGTTATAAAAATAAAATGCAGCCCATTGTAATAAAATAATTGTCAGTTGGTACATTAAATTACATTTCTCAAATTATTTTATACCCTTCACGAAACTCAACTATTTTGATTACTGTCATTTCTTTCAACATTTAAAATATTCTTTATTTGGGCTGGGGTTGTAGCTCAGAGGTAGGCACGGGACTCAATCCTCAGCACCACATAAAAATTAATAAAGGTATTATGTTCATCTAAAACTAAAAAAAATTAAATATTCTTTATCTATGGTAATGATTTTCAAATTAAAAAAGTAATCCTTAATAAATGAAACAATAAAAATAAAAAAGAACAGAAACACGGATAAAAAAATGTACTCTCTCTCAATGGAATATCACTCAACATTAAAAGAGAACAAAATGATGGCATTTGTAGGTAAATAGATGGAGCTGGAGAATATGATGCTAAGTAAGACAATCCCAAAAAAAACAAAGACTGAATGTTTTCTCTGATAAGTGAATGCTGATCCATAATGGGGGTGAGAGGGGAGCATGGGAGGAATGGAGGAACTTATGGGGAGGAAGGGGAATGGAGTAGGGATGGGGGTAGGCAAGGTGGTGGAATGAGATGAGCATCATTACCCTAGGTACATGTATGAAGATGCGAATGGTGTGACTCAACTTCGTATACAACCAAAGAAATGAAAAATTGTGCTCCATTTGTATATTATGAACTGAAATGCATTCGGCTGTCATGTATAACAAATTAGAACAAAAAAAATAAATTTAAAAAAAACAATGTACTCTGTCTGTTAGGATTATGTTTGGCGGCCAAAGCAGGAAGGTAACTATGATTCTACTGACAGAGTCCAGAGATTTGCAGCTGTCCAAGAAACCAGATCGCATTATAGATAATGCTGTAGTAAATACTTAAAATATTTTTATTGTTTGTGCATTTATGATACAACTTAACTGTATTCCTCTTAACAGCTTCATTTCAGCTCCTCCATTCAAATTTTTCATAGGGAGAAGAACATTTCTTACTAGCTCCTGAATTTATTTATTATAAGGGCTCATTAAGCATTGAATTTATTTTAATTGGAATAAAACCATCTGTAAACAGAAAGTCATGCCATAATTTTTTTCCAAAATTTCATTAATATTCACTTTAATATCTTTGGGCATGTGCACATTTTTAATTGACATCCTTTTTTAAAATTTGTTCTAATTACTTATACATGACAGCAGAATGCGTTTCAATTCATTGTACATAAATGGAGCACAACTTTTTGTTTCTCTGGTTGCACTGATGTAGAGTCGTACCATATGTGCAATCATACATGTACCTAGAGTAATGATGTCCATCTCATTCCACCATCTTTCCTACCCCTTCTACCTTCCCCCACTCCCCTTT